AAATAAGGATGCTGAGGTTCTGATGTTTTTAATATAAGTACTAGAGGACATGTCCCTGGAAATTCCCCAAGCAACTTTTGTTGTAAATTTTTTTCAACCATCAAGAGCTATAAATAAACCATGAAGTTCAACTATTGTTCTTGGAATTCGTTTATTTTAAGTAAACCGGTAATATATTTCACATGCTTCTGGAATTATCCATAATTCAGCAAATGGAAGCTTCTTCTGGCAATTACCAATTTCTCGCCTAATAAGAATTTCCCTTGTGCTAACTATTCTTATGTACTGGGTCGCATTGTGGGTACTGGTGATCTTTGTCATCTTACACAAAAAGTTAGATTTGCATTGGACCCAGAAAAGAATCACTCCCAGTTTTCTAGATGAGAAAACTGAGACAGAGATAAATTGTCCAAAGCCACAAGGGACTAGTAGAGTTCTCACACCACCTCTGGTCTTCCATTCCTAGTCAGAGGAATGGCCATTCTAGTCCCAAACCTCTAAAGCATCGGTGAGGGTCTGTATTCCTGTACTGGAGAAGGAAAGGGGAGGAGGTGATGACCTTGACTTTTGGTGCAGGTCTCTCATAACAGGCAGCAACTGGTTCACTCAACCCCATTGCTTTATTGGTCTGACTTGAGTGGAAACACCACTGTACTTTATTTTTATTTATTTTTAAATATGTTTTTTATTGATTTCAGAGAGGAAGAAAGAGATAGAAACATCAATGATGAGAGAGAATCATTGATTGGCTGCTTCCTGCACGCCCCACACTGGCGATTGAGCCCACAACCTGGGCATGTACCCTGACTGGGAATTGAACTGTGATTTCCTGGTTCATCGGTCCATGCTCAACCACTGAGCCATGCCAGCTAGGCCACCCTGTACTTTAAAAAAGCTATTGAAAGAAGTTGTCTTTCCTGGAATCACCACGAGATTCAATCTGATCCTCAATCTTCTGAAAGTTTGTTTAAAAAAAAAAGAGAGAGAGAGAGAGAGAGAGAGAGAGAGAGAGAGAGAGGGAGAGATCAGCACCTCATAAAGTATATAATCATCCAATCACTAGGTTGTACATGTGAAACTAATATAATGTTGTATGTCAACTACAATTGAAAAATAAATTTTAAAAAATACTAGAACATTTTTAAGTTAAAAAACGAGATCAGGCTTTCTTCTAAGTCCATTTGGGAAAATCTGTCTCCTATGAAGACCAAGCGGATCTCCCATGAACGCCAGCCAGAAGCAGGGTTGCTGCTAACACCTTGGCCATGTCAGGCTCAACTGAAACTTTAGATCAAAGGTTCCCTTGTAGGAAGCTTGATATTGCTCTTCCTTCTTCCCTGAGTTTGTGATTTCTTCTACACGATACTATCATGTCTGCAAACTGTCAGTTTCACAGGGCAAGGAAACAGAACAGCAAAAAGTTAAATTTCCTGTTGATAAATGACAAACATAAACATGTGCCCATTAGCCACTTTAAATTTAAAATAATAGAGGTCAGAGAGATGTGGCAGAAGAGGAAGTCAAAGATATCTGAAGTATGAGAAGGACTTGACATGGCTTACAGATGTAGGGGGCCACATGGAAGGTGGAAGAAGGAATTAAATTCTGCCCACAACCAGTGAGTTTGTATGAGAACCTGAGCCCAAATGAGAATATACCTGGCCAACCCCTGGATCTTCAGCCCAGTGAGACCCTGCCAAATCATGCCAAACTTCTGATGTACAGAAACCGAGGCTAATATAAATGTTTTAAGTCACTTCAAAAATTTTAAAACAGTGCTCAGAGGTCCTGAGCTGGCTCATGCATCATGTAGGCTCAAATTCTAGCTTTGCCGCCAACCCACTGTATGACCTGATGCCATGGCACCTACCCCTGAATGTCATCTCCCATCGTAAAATGGGGAAAGGGCACATTAACATCTACTTTCTAGAGTAATATGAAGAGCAAAATGAAATGTGAAAGTAAATGGCATCATGTAAATGCAAGTTTTATGTAAACCTCTGCCTCCCTCCAAATATTGTGTTGATATGAATTCTGCATTTTTTTCTCCATTTATCCTCCATTTAATGGAGCATAAAATTAGCTAAATGTTTATTTGTGAAATACTTCTTCATGAAAAAAAGCAACATAAATCTAGGAAGGCGACTTACTTATCGAGCTCATTCCTGCCTCAACACACTTTTACTAGATTGAAATCTATTAGCTCCCTCTTCTCCTTTGGGATTGGTGTCTGGCTGAAAACTCAGCACCCACACTCACAGCCATAGCACGCACAGCACAATACCCTACAGTACTGCAATGGCTCCCTCTCCTCCCACCTCCTAACAAACAGCACTTAGAAGTACCTAGACACTCATGATCTCATCCACTACTCCTAAGCCAGAGCTAAGATGGATGAAATGATTCTGTATGATAAATGGTTGGCCCTGGATCACACACGAGTCAAGAGCAAAGGAAGGCCTGGAACTGAAGTCATCTTATTGCAAGCTGGGTGTCTGTCACCTCCACCCCACCCCACCTGGATTAACAGAGGGCAGGGAGAACAGAAGACGCTGCCTACTTGTTCTGTACCCAGGACACCAGATTTGCCAACACTCCGTTCACGTGCCCTTGTGGTGCCAAAGTCCCACGGCCCGGCTGGAATTCAGGACACATGATGCAGGGTGGTGTGTGGATTTCTGGACTTGTTTGCTTTCAGTTAAACAAACTGACTTAGATACAAAAAATAAGTCCAGGTTGATCAATCATCAGAAGTCTCATAACTCACTTTAAGAAAACCTTCATGTTCATTTTATGTGAATGTGTTCAATAGCATTAAAGGTAACTACCCATCCACTCCTCCAAAAAGAACATATACCCTTGAATCATGCCAGGTCACTAAGGAACAACCAAATAAAATGACTATTAGAATTAATTTCCTTCTCATAAAGCCTAAATTCTAGTTTTAATATACAAAATAGAAAAACTGATAAGCTTGTAATAAAATGAAAAACATAAAAGCAGAAAATGGAACTCAAAGTACAACCTCTTTATACATATCAGAAGCTCATTATTTAGAGCCTCATTTCTTGCTGTTGAAACTGTCAGTCGGTTGATGTGATGATAGGCCAGAAATACACATTAGAGCACAAGCTGGTAACATTAATAGGAGACTTTGGATCTGCATTAACAATTGCTGCATTGTAAACATTCACTGTGAGAATGAACTTTGTATTTGTGTGGAAGAGGCAAATATTTTGGCATTTGAAGTAAGTAGAAGTCTATTTCCAATAGTGGCAGGTCAGATACACACCATCTAGTCAGTTAATGAATCACCTTCCATCTCCTGCCCTTCTCCAGCTGAAGCCCGGGGAGTGACTGGGCTTGATCTCAGGGGGTGGCCATCCGCCCTAGGCACATTGTCAGATGCACCAAAACACAAAGTGACTATTCAAAATAATAAATTATTCTCTTACATATACCTCCACTGATGCAAATAATTGAGAGGGAAGTACATTCTCTTGGGACTCATAGATAAGAGAGTGAAGGCCGGCTCAGAATTACTGACAAATGAAAGAGCATTACAGTACTGTCAAGGAGTCTGGTGTTCTTTTTCTGGCTGCCACTCATAGTGTGACCCTTGGCAAGATATGAACAGGAAACCATTGCTTTCTCCCTGACATGGACCTGCTCAATTTATCTCATAGGATTGTTCTCCAAGTTCTTTAAAAAGCTTATGTAAAATATATTAAAAGCATTATCATTGCTATTAAATTATTTAAAGACAATTTTTTTCATAATGTAACTTTGTAAACTATCTTTAGGGTCTAAAAAATGCTCCTAGATCTATTGTCTAACAAGTAGAAATAACAGAATGACAGAAAATCCTAATTATAATTCTTCAAATTCATTAGATCCATAATTTGCGTTGCAATGAGTCTGCTGGTTAGATGTTGATTAAAATCACTGCTGTATAAAGTGATTCATTCAATAATTCTTTGGGAATGCAAATTCAAGTTTAGGAAAAAATAAGCACACTTTAAACATGAAATAATGTTGACATTCTAGGAGATGATTAAGCAAATTAAGAAACCATAACCCAAAATGTTTTAAAATGATGTTACTGATTTCCTCAAAACTAAAGGATTAGAAAATAGAATTTCAATTTATAAGTCAATTATAAACCTTTGTACTCAGGTATATTAGAAGCATATAATATTCAATAAAAAGGCATCGAGGCCAGTATACGAATGTGAGCTTTCAGTTTTATAGGAACACAAGTTCTAGTTGTTAACCAACTCCTGGCACTCAACTTAGGGGAGTCCTGCCTTGAATACTAATCAAAGGGAAATAACCTTAAGTTAACACTCTAATTTAAATCCTGTTTTTAAAAAATCATAACAAGGAAACACATTCCTCTAATAAACTTGTGGAAGATTAGAAGTGACTGCAGAGAGCATGTTTTACAGAACTAATGACTCTGATGCCGGGCAGCACTTTTTACTGGAATGATCAAAGACCTCAGTTATTGCTTATTTCTCTGGATAATGACTAATGCTTGCGCACTGGCAGTGTGGAATATCGCACATACAACAAGTAAGTCTGCAGCAAGTGAAGGTGTTACATTTGCTCCCATTTCTCCTGAGAAACAGGCTGCAAGAGTCACTTCCGTAAATGGTATTGCAGAGCCTAGGATTTAATAGTGACATGGCTGGCATTTTATTTTTATTTTTTTAAATATATTTTATTGATTTTTTACAGAGAGGAAGGGAGAGAGATAGAGAGTTAGAAACATCGATGAGAGAGAAACATCGATCAGCCGCCTCCTGCACATCTCCTACTGGGGATGTGCCCGCAACCCAGGTACATGCCCTTGACCGGAATCGAACCTGGGACCCTTCAGTCCGCAGGCCAACGCTCTATCCACTGAGCCAAACCGGTTTCGGCATGGCTGGCATTTTAGATGATAAAATTAAACATGTCTAAAAACATGCAGCACAACGAAGAGTTAACACACTTGATTTCCTGTTCCACATTTATTGGGGCTAGAGAGACTAAAACAGCTATTTTCCTCTCAATTCATTGGAAAAATATAATATGACAGCAATTTCTTAAATACAGAACAAAACTTTCTGGATTATGAATCAACATGAGATATAATAGCCTATAGATATCAATTGTGGCAGCATTTTAAAATATCATTTATCTAAGGCGTTCTGAAATTGTCTCTGAAGCTACACATATATACATGATTCTATACACATAAAGGCATCCATTCATGAACAGAAAGTCTTTTAGAAGCACTGTGTAGGAAAGGTTAAAATAATACATACATGTTTAGATTCTGAATAATTTATGAGTCAATTTCGGGTTCCAAGAAGCAGTGATTTACATTTAAATAAGCATTTAGATTTTCAGACTTGGATAGGTAAAATTTTTGTGATGCAGGCTACAAGAAAAGTCACTGTGATGCAGACTACAAGAAAATTCAAAAATATTCCTTTTTCAAAGACCTCCTTCAAAAGAGAAACGTCAAGTCCAGAACAAACATGAACCAGTAGGATGCCTAAGATTCTAAAATGTCCTTCCATATGAATTTCCTCCTCATTTCCCTACCTAAGAAAAAGAGAAGAGTTTTTAGAAGGGGCAATGGCTAGATGTTATGCCATTACAACCAGTAGTGTTTCTGGATGGTTAAGTTCTTGCATCCAATTTTGGTGAGGGATTTTAAAATTTCTATTTCAAATGGACTCTACCACTCCAAACACAAAAATATTTTGTTACAACATCCAAACATGATCATGCAGACCCAGATTTCTTCCTAATACAGAATGAGAACCACTAGGGAAGGATAAAGCTGACAAAGGGAGGAGACAAGGTTGAACCCTTTCACTGGCAATTATCCAAAATGACAACATCAGTCTAGGTTATCAAGTTGTCAGCTCTCTCTTTTATAAACAAATTCTCTTGATTGGCTTACATCTCAACCCTGATGCACCAGATATACTTAGATTTCACCTACCAATCTGTTCCTTTTGATCCTGACAATCTCACACAGGCCAATTCTCTTAGCTATTGAGGGAAGAAGTCACCGTTTCCCAGGTACTTTTCAACATTTAAAAACTTAAGTCCAGTTATTTCAAGTCTTTTTGACAAACAACCCCACTCCTTATTCTCCCCTCACATACACACACAAAAGAGCTAATTCTGATATAACAGTATCTCTGTGAGAAGACTGTTCCTTCCATTTTTTCCAAGGAAATAACATAGATATTTTCTTCCACTTTTACTCCAAATTCAGGAGCTCCACCTTTAATAACATAGTCTTTTGGGTTACCTGAAATCAGCCCATTTTAAGATTCTTTGTGGAACCAAGCCTGAAGAGTTTACAGAGTAGTATGCTGCCACTATTGACATTCTTGACACAAAAATTCAATTTCAGTTGAGTCCCTGTGATTCCCCTGAGCAGTTATAAATGCCTTTTACTATAACGAGGCAGTGTAAAACAAAGCAAATTATTCAAATATATATATATATACACATTTATACTAATATGAAATACATTGATAGAGGAGATCATTGATTTCTTTTTTCTGAAGTGTTTTGAGTTTTGAAGGAAAATAAAGACACTTAATATTGAGAAATTTCTAATAAATGATTAAAAATGTTTTTGGTTGGCTGCCATTCAAAAGTTTCCCCAGCGTTCTCATCAATGTTCTATACAAACTGTAAATAAAAATATACATGACCAAAAGTACTATATGTATATATACATACATATATACACAGTATGTGTGAATTAAAGTTCCTTAAATATACACATCCCCACTTGGGATATATTCCATTACATAGGCAATAATAGGCCCAGATAGCAGCAATTTAATAATGTAGTTATCCAGTTACTCAGAACATATCATAGGTCCTGATAGTTCCTGACATGGCTTCAAGGAGAGCTCTCCACTGTCATTAATACAGTTCTCATGAGGCACCAGGCTACATTGCTGATGGCAATTATGTCATCCTGTCACTGGAGGAAATGTTATTGTCCTTTCAAAACCCATTTATTCAAAATCTGCTATGGTGTAATGGGAAAAACAAGTCATTTTATTTCTTACATATTTTGGTTGTTTTATCCGTGCCTTGTACATACAGAAAAGTATTCAGATTGCCTTAACAGACACTAAACTCGGCTAAGAAGACAGCTGCTCTGAATTGTGTTTGAAAATACAGAAATAACCTGGCCAATGTGGCTCAATTGGTTTGAGCATCATCCCGTACACCGAAAGGTCACAGGTTCGATTCCCGATCAGGGCACATACCTAGGTTGTAGGTTCGATCCCTGGTCAGGGCGAGTACTGGAGGCAACTGATGGATGTTTCTCTCTCTTTCTCTCTCTCAAAAAAAAGGTAAATAACATGATTATCAATCAGTATTTTTACAAACTGAAATTGCATGATGTCATATTAAGTATTGTTTTTAAAAGTTATGTTTATGAGTCTATACTTGAGTAAGTCAAGAACGTACAACCAAAATTTACATATATAATATGCAAAAAACCTTTAGGTTGCTTTATATTAAACAATATTAGTCACAGAAGAAATACAGAATGGCTTTTACATAAACATTTGTGTGTTTTACTATTGTGTGTAATAATACACACTATTATTTTATGTATCTATCCAGGCACACCCAGTGGACAGAAATTCTAGGTGGGCAGCAAGTTATATGGGTTCTAGATATACATATAGACTTTAATACTCATTCTTGGTGTGTACTTTTAGGTCTAATTCTAAATTTTTGGGTGTATGAACACAGCGCTCAAGAAAGGGCCCTGCTATCTATGATGCAGGTTTTGAACCTCTGCCACTCCACTCAAATACTTCATGTAAAACAAGCTTGTAGGCAGCAGCCACTGGCTCTCTGAGAAGAGTTTATCACCTTAAAAAAGTTATACTTGCCAAGAAAGAGAGACTAAATTAGACCATATTGTTTTATAGGCTGAAACCCTTTTACTGGGAAGGGACAACTTCCTCTGCACAGCAGTTTCTCCTGCTTGAAGCTGAGATCACACAGGGAGAAACCTATTGTGCTTCTGCCAAGTGACTGTGGGAATGCTGGGAAAGCAGGCCCAGGAGCTGGCAGAGGCAGAGCCACCTTATCACCTCCTGCGATAAGCAGCCTGCTTTATCACTCCGACGAGAATTTCCCCTGAAATGGTCTCATCCACGGGTTTCCCCCCATGTTTCCCTTGGTAGTCAGATCAACACAGAACAGACTCTAGCTTCTCAATGATCATGTATGCTGCCAACCGTGACAACACCTTTATTATACTGAATTGTTCACTCAGGCTCCTTGAATTTGGCTGGAAGTAGAAGAGTCCCGTGGGATCCTTTAGGTGATAAAATGATGCTGTGTTAGTTCCTTCCCAAGAACCCGAAGCTTCTGACATGCTCCACAGATACAACCTGGACTGCAGAACCTGATTCTCTTTACACAGGAACACACACACCAGTGCTTGGCCTTTTCTGGCGCCACAGGTGGGCAGGCAAGTTCAAAGTCTGGACACAGAGGCACTTCCAAAATTTGGCAAGAAAAAGGAGGCGAGTTCACCAAGTGGGGCTTTATCACTGTGCTACGTGGCACGCGGACACAAACAGAGATCTTTAGGTTGTGGATGGGTCATGCTTTTTCTTCTTGCCCCGGCAGCACTTGCAGACACAACAGATTATACAGGGGGAGGCCAGGAGTAGCAAGGGTGAAGTCACCAAGGCAATGATGCCCAGCCCCACAAGAATCCCAACCACCTGGAAATTAAGAAAGAAAGAAAAACTATTTTAGCAGTTGAATCTTCCTACATGTCTACTATACCATCAGCTATGGACTCAAAATTCCCACTGAAACCCTAATCCCCAATATAATGATGTTTGGAAATGGGGTTCTTTGGGAGGAAATTAGGACATGAGGGTGGAGCCCTCATGAAGGGATTAGTGCCCTTAGAAGAAGGGACACCAGACAGCTGGCTTCCTCTCTCTTCACCCTCTGCCATGTGAGAACACAATGAGAAGATGGCCATCTGTAAACCAACAAGAGAGTCCTCACCAGAACCCAACCCGAACCCTGCTGGCACCCTGACCTTGAACTTCCAGTCTCCAGACCCATGAGAAATAAATTCCCATTGTTTAAGCCACCCAGTCTATAGTAATTTGTTATAGCAGCCTGAACTGACTATGACACCATCTCAGACACATAAAACAGTCACAATTATGGAACATTTTAGCCAGTCCCCAGCAGTGGTCTGAACTGAATAATTCAGGAATATACCAGACACTAAATCAAAGGTGAGAACAAACAAAATGCTAAGTCAGGCTCTGGCACGGGCTTAGTATAATCATGAAATGTTGGTGTTGGCTCTCTCTCTACCTGAGTTTCCTCAACAGCTTCATAGGGATGTTAATAATGATTACTAGGCTATTAACACTGGCTCCTTCAAAAGAAGCATAGTCTTTAATAAATATGAAACACTATTAAAAATAAACCAGGGCTCCCTTTGAACCTGTCACATAATCACACAATGGCATGTACAGAGGGATCTAAGCCCCTACAGGGGCTCATCAGGTTTAGAGCACTGCCTTTCATAGCAAATGCCCCATGAAGGGCTGTAGGAAAGTCATCCCACCATCTTTTTCAGCAGGAAAGAACATCTGCCCTCATTCCGCAAGTCACTGTTATTTACTTGGCTGCTCTGGTGCCCTGCTCCTCCACTTATCTTTAAGAGTATTGTGCTCATGAATTAACTCCAAGCAGTTGATCCATTACTTTTCCCTAGCCCTGCCCCAGAATTCCCCAGAACCTCCAGGGCTAGAATGGGTAAGCAGGAGTAAAGTGGGGAGGATGAACAGGCAGGTTTTCTAAGCCATTGTGAGTCTGGTGTATCTCATGCTCCTTTTAAGGTCAGGGTACCTGTGTTCGGTTCCATATCACTGAGGCTCTTGAGTGGCCAAGCTTATTCCTGCATGGCCCTTTGTCGTAATGTCTGAGGAAAATGTCGTTCTGAAAAACAAAGAGAAAGGTTTCGGTAAGCATGTAAATCTGAATTGAGAGACAGATACTAACCACATCAGATCACCTCAGTGGAAGCAAAGGCTCTTTCTGGTACTATTAATAACGGCTTCTAGGAATTCCAAGCCCATAATCTTTAGACTCTATCTCAGCAATTTTCTATATCACCAAGTGAAAACAGAGGATAATCAATGAGACTCTTGACTGAGTCTAATAGAGATCAATGGCCTGACCAATTATCATCAAAAGGTAGCTCTATCAGAGGTGTGATAGGAAATGAAAGGACCATGAGTGAGGCAGCTCAGAGATGGTTGTAAGTAAACAAGGTGATAAAATGCCAGTGGTTGAGATGGAGAAGAGGAAAATACAATCATGAGATATTAAGATGGGTAACTAACCAGTGGGGAAATAGGGAGAAATCGCACAATGAGGGGAAAGTCACTGGGTAGAAGGTAGTGGCTTTGTTGAGAGAAACACCATAGAGAGGGATTTTGTTGGGAGGTGACGACCACAGTTTGGACATGTTGAACTTGAGAGATACTTGAGACATCCAAGCAGCACTGATCAAAAGGCAGTTGGTTACATAGATGTGAATTTGGGGGCAAAGACTTGGGAATCAGTGTACATGGGGTAGGAAAACCACAGAAGTAACTGAGATTACCCAGGGAGAGTGCAGACTGAGAGGCAAGCAGGCTGTTGAACACAACCATATAAGAATGGATTGAGAAAGAGCCTGGAAAAAGAACTGAGAAGAGGCCAGAAATGTAGGCCTGAAGAGGTGGAAGGTGGTCAAGATGTCAAAGGCAGCAGAGAATCTAGGTAAGATGAGGACTGAAGTGTTCCTTGGATTTTACCCAAAAGCAGTCACTCGAAGCCTTGGAAGAACAGTCGGGGTGTGACTAAGTGGCAATCTGAGCGCGGCAATGACTGGAGGTAAGGAAGTGTCAACAGCTTGAGGTGAGTATGCTTTATTGGCGGCTGAAGGGACAAGAGAAATGGAAAGATGTAGACTTGAGCAAAGTGTTACATACCCACTTTTAAGTGGGACAGTTGAGAATGCATGGATAATTTAGAGACTAGAGAGTGGAGAGTGGATGCTGAAGTTGGAGGAGAGAGAAGAGATAACTGAAGGGGACAAGTTGCCAAGGTACCCAAAACAGATGAAGAATGCCTCATCCTCCCACTGGGGACTGGAACTACCTCAACTAAATTTTTTAGATCTAATTCATACTTTGAGTAAAAGACTTTTTTTCACATTCTCTTGATGTTAAAATTTAACCAGCATCAACAACATGCTAGAATAGGAGAGTATGTTCAAAGATCAATAGACTATAACTTTTCAACACTATCTCAAAGCCAACATAATTAAGAGCTTTGATTGTGAGTTTATCTTTTTTTAAACAATTAGATATTTTTAAGTAAGTAATCCACTATACATCTTCCTCTCACTGTGTTTTCTTTGTTTTTTTGGGGGGTGGGGTAGCCTCTTTTCTCTTCATTAGCTGCCAGAATGTGCTTTCATAAAGGCTCAGTAGTGGCAGAAGACAGAAAACTCATCTGGGATTTAACTACTGTGACTGACACATTCTTCTGATTAATAACACTTGTCTGATGCTTTTTGTTAGGTAGTTTCCTTTAAACTTCACAGATCCCCTGAGAGAGAGCCACTATTATTCCTCTATTTTTATTTTTTGTTAATCCTCACCCAAGAATACTTTTTTCATTGATTTTTAGAGAGTGAAAGGGAGAAAGGGAGTAAGAAAGAGAAATATCGACACGGGAGAGACACATCAATTAGTTGCTTCCTACATGTGCCCAATCGGAGCCGGGGATTGAACCTGCAACCCAGGTATGTGCCGTTGACCAGGAAATGAACTGGTGATGAGTTACACTGGCCAAGACTATTATTACTCTTTTAAGATGCAGTCATTGTGCCTAGTCACCTGGTGGGGAGAGGCAGAGCCAAGAGTCAAGTAAAGTGCTCCTCTACCCCACCAAGGTGCCCCAGACCTTCTCTGATGTCAGTGGGCTGATCTTATGAGCTAATTGATCGTGGCAAATGCCATATACAATCTTTCCTGAGGCCATAGGAGGGCTTCCTGCAGCTGAGATTTGTGTGGGGTGTTGCCTAGGCGGATACCACTCCAAGTGTGGTCCTCACTCCATCAGCTTCACTGTCTTAGAAATGCAGGTTCCCGGGCCCACTGCAGACTTCTGACGTGGGGCATGGTATCTATGCTTTAACATACTTTCCACATGTTTCTGATGTTCACTATAATTTTAGAACCACTACTTTAGAAAATTTAGTTTAGAATGGCATTTCTCAAACTGTGTTCCATGGGAAACTAGTGTCCTGGGATCTAGTGGTGGTTCTGGGTGTTCCCTGGCAAGGTCAAGTGAGTTTGGGGAAAGCTGCATCTAGAAGGGGTAGAGTGTATGTTAGTATGTCTGTGGAACCTGTTTATTTAACCTAGCGAGTTAAAGAAACACATTAGATTATGGATATTTTGGGGGGCAAGTTCCCTTGCCAAAGTTTCTAGGAGATACTGGTCTAGGCTGAAGTGACCTTCAGGACAGCTCAAGGGTACCCTTCCCTCCCTGTGAGCAGTTAGAAGGTGGTAGTGTTAGTACTCAACTTTGACAATTCACGTCTGCCATGAAGCTGTGATGAAGTTTTAAGGTGACACTGGCAAGTACAACCAAGTAGATGCCAAACTCGCTGAAACACACATTATATGAAATAAGTACTTTATATTCTAGAATTAGAATATAAATTACTGTGTCTTCTTAAATGAGATTGTTTTCAGAATAGCATTACAATGACCTTACAGAGCACTTGATAAAGTGTTAAGGGAACATAAGAATGACATATATTCATGGATTTTCAGTCACTGTGTAAGATTTTGACCTTTTTCATTTTCCAGTTCAGGACTTTTTCCCTCCTATATCTGAAATAACTGTAAAATAGATTTTTGTGGGAATTTTAAAAACTATCAAAACACTTTGGGGGCATTATAAAGACCCATCCACAGAAGTATATATGAAAGCACACAAAACGCTACAGGTTTCACTGATTTTAGTGCTGCTATTAAGTTATTCAATTTTTGCTTGTCTCATGATTAACCATTTTTAAAGTTTGTACAAAGGTAACAAAGTATTATTTTTAAGATTCATAAAGGGAAAATTGTAGGACAATCAGAGGTGAAGAATTAGAATTCTGTCTTTTGTATGTTTCTCATCTGTATTCACTTCCTGCGCTGGCTTTTGTACTTGAGCGGTTTTTCTTTACAAATGCTCTCTCACCACTCTGAAGTCTGCTGACTGTACCCTTAAACATGCTTATGGTATTCTGCTCATTATGGAAAAAGGAACATTTTATAAGTTTGTGCTCTGCTAACTGTAGATATTTATTACTCTATGAGCTATCTATTTTTGTAACCACTGTGGTCTATCATATCTTACTAATGGTAAAAGGGAGGGCGATATCCAGAAGAGAAGCTTAATTTGCACAATTTCAGACAATCTGTGAATGTGAAAACTATAGTGTTTCTCTGCTATAACCCAATCTACTATAATGTGGAGAAATTGTCTACCTTGAAATTCATCCTAGCAGGTAAAGTTGAGCTAAACTCCTGGTTTTCCTTTGAACTATAACTATAACAAGGCCCCATGGCATTGGCCCAAGGAGAAGTAAGATGCCAATGTGCAAAGGGCCCTTTAGTTTTTCCATTAATTCTAATATAAGAGATTTTTTTATTTACATGTATATTTGTTTACACACTATAGGTGGGTATCATTGAAAAGCTTGGTTTAAAAACCACCCCCAAAAGAAAGAACACCTAGCTTTATGCAGTGACAGGAATACCTCATCCTCTGAAACAGCAGGGATGAGGATCAAGGCAGGAACACCCTCAATGCCTGAGAAAAAGTCAAAATCACTGTTTGGTGTCTGTCTAGGGACTGGATTTTGGACAATCACCCTTCTCCTAGACCCATGCTCTACAACTTTCCTATAAACAAGGATCAACACCACATGTGACGTGGAACACTTGTCTACAGAAAAACATCGTTACCAACAAGGCAATGCCCCTGGCTAAAACCAAGAACATGAGGTCGCAGAGAACAATGACCAGAAAACAATGCTGTGTATCCAGCCACCTGGCATCTGTGCCGTTTAGTCTCTGAGTCCTGGAACAGTCAAGTGATGGAACAGTGTGTTCTTGCAACTCCATGCCACAAACACATTTCGCCAGAGGATGGGGAGATCTGGCGCACACATTTATCCCCTTATATTCTGGCTTCCTAAAGAGAACCTCATGGGCTCAGCCTGCTTGTGGATCTGAGCCCAATTAATATTCTGGTGAAATCTAGAGGAAAACAAAAAAAAAGACTTCTCCCATTTGTAAAGCATGAGGGGTGTACAATCCATCAAATCCTCATCTAGAATAGCACTCCTCTGGATTTATGAGAGGTCTCCACTATCAAACTTAATGGTAATTCAAGGATTATAATAGAATTATTTAAAAGAATGAAAACATTTCTCTCAACCTGAACTGCTAAGCTTCTAGAGCAGGGGTGGGCAAACTTTTTGACTCGAGGGCCACAATGGGTTCTTAAACTGGACCGGAGGGCCGGAACAAAAGCATGGATGGAGTGTTTGTGTGAACTAATATAAATTCAAAGTAAACATCATTACATAAAAGGGTATGGTCTTTTTTTTTTTTAGTTTTATTCATTTCAAACGGGCCGGATCCGGCCCGAGGGCCGTAGTTTGCCCACGGCTGTTCTAGAGGCTAAGATGTCAATTTTCTTCTCCCCAATTTATACCTCTTCTTGAAACACTGACATAAAACTGATTAAGATAACTTGCTCATAGATGTCATCCTAAACAACTTATCGAATTTTCAGTTAACACCCAGGCACATGGGGGCCAGCATGCATCCCGTATCAACTGCACGCTCACTCTGCAACTGCGTATGATACTGAAGCACTACAAGACTTGCTTATTGAATTGAAGCAAACTGGGCAATTAATATGGACAACTGGGAAAAGAATGCCACCCACCCGTGACTGAGGGCTTACACTGACATGCACATATTTTATAGGTCCAGGCTGCCCAAACTGGGAATACCTGTAAACTACGTAGGCGGCCTTAAACTTTAAAACACTGTAATTGAAAACAGTAGGATGAATTCTCAACAATCCTTTACATCATCTTTTAACTGAGGTTACCACTAGCCTTAGCACAGGACTGAATGAAACTCCACCTGAATTTGAGAAGACATGCTTCATGAACGGTTAAGAAAAAGAACAACGAGACCAAACCTCTTTGTCTAGAAGGGAACCATGACCAACGGTAGCAATACCTCTGTCATGCCAATGAATGAGACAGTTACCTGAGAGACACCATTGATTTGAATGGCTTTTTTCTTTAAATTCAAAAAAAAGGAAAACAACCTATTGGCAGTAGGCAGCACAATTGCTCCCCTAAAGATGCCCATGGCATTTCCCCAGAACTTGTGAAAATGTTACCTTACATGGCAAAAGGGATTTTTCAAGTGTGTTGAAATGAAGACCTTGAGATAGGGGAGATTGTCCTGTATTGTCCAGATGGACCCAATCTACTCTCACTGGTCCTTAAGGTAGAGAAGCTCTCCCAGCTGTGGTCAGAGGCAATGACTCCGAAAGCTATGACTATAAAATAAGGGTCAGAGGGATGTGATGTTGCAGCCTGTGAAGATAGAGAACGAGGCCATGAGCCAAGGAATGCAGGCAGCCTCCAGGAGCTGGACAAGGCCAAGAAGTGGATTCTCCCCTGCAGCCTGCAGAAGGAATGCAGCCCTAAGGACACCTTGATCTTAACCCAGTGAGTCCCACATTCGACTTCTAATGTTCAGAGTTAAAGATAAGAAGTTGGTGTCATTTTCAGCCAAAATTTTGTGGTCGTTTTTTAGAATAGCAACATAAAACTAAGACACTAACAGTCCTTTACATAATAGAATGAAACAATGCCCCCCAAGCAGGAAATGTCTCTAAAAGAAAAGCTTGCCTTTTAAAGCAAAGGTGACAGGTGTTATGGATATCTAAAGTAGCGGGCTCAGGAAGTCTCATTAAGAAAAATAACTTTTTTGGCAGGACAAAAGTAGGCCCAATATTTTGAAAGGAAAGGCTGTAGGACACTGGCTGTTGCACAGGTACAGGATGGAGAAAGATGCTGGGAGAGAGTCTTCCACGTGAAACTTACATCCAGGTTCTGCAGACAGTACCAGCAAAACGTGTGCTTGCAGTTCTTGCACATCATCTGAGCACAGCCTTCGTTGCGTTCAATATAAACCCGGCAAAATGGGCACTGCTTAATGGGGGCGTCTGCATCTGTCCCAACGAGGGCCCTAGAAACACAGAGGATGAGAAATTATTGGGTGGGGATGGAGAATGCTGCCTGATTTTTTAAAAAGCCAGGACCACAAGGGTGTACACTAACCAGACCTATGGTAAGAATAAGCTATGGTAAATATAATGGATAAATAATGCCCTTCTAACTCCATTTTATGGCCAGCAATTGGATCTCCTAAGGCTCCTGATGTTTAGGTAGTGAACTCTTTGTAATCTGTGCTTAATTCACCCCCCAGGGAAAAGGGTGGGGGTAAAAATAGGTGTGACAGAAATTATTAGTTGTTCGGAAACTCAAAACAAAACCAAAAAATACCTTAATTTATTTATCTTTGGCTTTGAGTGGATTATATCATCGTATTTTCCACAACTGATTTAATTCATTATTTTGCCCAATTAGTATTTCATTCTCTGAGCACGCACTGAATAAAAAGTGCAAAAAGTCTGCTATAAGACAGAAAAACTAGCTCAGGATCTGACGGGGCATAGATAATCCATCTAATAAGCTGTTTAAATAAACAAAGGAAAGAGGCTGTGGGGGGTCAATAATCAATACTTTAAAGTAAAAGCCCAATGTCATTGAAAAGACCTGCTCCAAACAAATGGATAGGCCAATACAGGGTCACAGCTCAGAGGGACATAGAAAAGAAGCGGAGGGTGGGTGTGGCAGGGAACGCTAGATGAGCTACAGAACTGGGCAGCCCTTCAGCTACTGTTCATCAAAACCGACACCCAGCCCAGAGACACCCACTTCACAGTGTTGTAAAAACTATGACAGAATTTGGTGCTCACAATAATCTCATAGAGCAGTGGGACAGCTACTATTTTAATTATCTCCCCCCCCCCTTTTTTTTTTCAAATAGAGAAACATCCCATAGGGTCTGAGTAGCTTGCATGAGGTCACATGGATGCCAAGTGACAATGTCAGAATTCAGTCCTTCTCCCTCTGGGATCTTTACATTGCCCTGTGACAGCCGGGACCTTCCTGTGGTGGCAGTGAAAATGGAGGTGGCACTGGCTAAAAGGCACATGCCTGCCCCGTGTACTGGATCTGTTTTCCCTCTTGATTTGTTTGGTCTGAGATTCAAGCACAGTGTCACAGCCAGGTAGCACTGCTGTGCCTGAAGAATGGCTCTACACATTCTCAGGGCGCCGAGGGCTAGGCCAACTGGACTGCAACACTGGCATTTCTGTTCTTGCGGGTGCAGAACAGCCATAGCCTCAAGCAAAGCAAGGGATCAAACACAAAGGTCTCTCACTCCAGGCCCTGTGGCTGCCATAAAACCCTCCTTTCTGAAAGGTACAGATTTAATTGCTTCTCATCATAACAGAATCTCAACCTTGGCACCACCTTTTCAAAGCATCAAGTAGTGAGAGATAAGCTCTTTTCCTCTAGTACCTAGGCATTTAGCACTGCACTATACTGAAGGCTGCTGCTGTCTTCTCTCTGCTGTGATTGGCACGCCTCAGGAGCTGGCAATTTAGATAGGGGAGAAAATAATTTCTGCACACTTTGCAATCCGGAAGAATGAGGTATGTCCATAGCTGGCGGGTCTGATATTAAGCAAATGGCTGTGAATAAGCTAAGACTTCCAACTGAGAACCGGTGGACCACATGACTCTCTAACTACAGGGAAATCAAAACTCATACAAACTCTAATTTCAGCAGTATCTGAAAGATGCTCCGGGGTAAATAACTAAAATCCCTCTAGAAATGCTTTTGTGGGTTAGTCTTTGTTAACAACTTGCCAGTCTTGAGACACTTCTCAGAAAGTGCTTGCAGGCAAATCATGAATCTCTAAATTCCATCACAAGGTAACTCCTCCTCCAAGCAACATATTTTGTGTTTCTGAGAAAACTAGTGAATAATCCCAAATACCACATTTTTGTTCTTACCCGTGCTCTGTTGGCAAGACGATAGGCTGACTGTCTCTACAGGAGACCTCGGCGTGCCAAGCATCCTTGCAACATGAGCAGAACTTCAGGTGGCAGGAAGGGCACTCAACCAGCACAGGCTGTCCTGGATCACCTGACACAACGGGGCACACCGTCTGACAGTCTGCGACGGGGCACCACGTTCGGTAGGGGTCCAGGTGAACTTCTAAAGTGTAAAGAAAGGGAATGTGATGGTCTCTCTGTCTTGCATTCAAACTCAAGGCTTTCTCCCCTTCATTTCTTCTCTTTTATAAGCTAACATTTATGAAAGCTTAGTACAACCAAGGGCAGTGATTTCTTCACAAGGGATTCAAACCTAAAAGGTCAGTCAGCCCTGCCACATTTCCCAGAGTAGGTGCTAATGGAATAGGTCACCATTGCCCTTATCTATATATATAAAAGCCTAAGCAACGGTTATGACAGAATGACCAGAATGACTGGTCGCTATGATGTGCACTGACCACCAGGGGCAGACGCTCAATGCAGGAGCGGCCCCCAGCCCACAAGCCCCGATCACCGACGGGGCCTGCCGGCCAACCTGCGGGTCCCTCCCCCTGGCCAGCAGGTCCCGAACTGGGACAGGGAACCAGGGGTGGGTGGAGGTGAATGCGGGCAGCAAGAGAAGGGGTGCGGGGGGAGGCAGGGAACCTGATCAGCTCTGATCGCCAACCAGGCCTAGGGAACCCACCTGTGCAGGAATTTCGTGCACTGGGACTCTAGTAAACAGGTAAATAGTGTTGTCATTAACCAAAATTTGCAACTGTTGGACTACTTCCCACCTTTCAGCACTCAAGATAGTCAAAAATCTCAAGTATCATCTACAATTAATTTGGGTACTATCTTGGAGGAAATTGGACATGAAGAACCTACCAAAGCAAAAGAAAAAAATGCATAGAAGATTTTGTCGTTTCAGGCACTCAGAATAGGTAGTGAGGTTTCTTCTGCTGCTTAGAGAGAAATTAAAGAATAAGGAATAATCACATAATTTAGGGACCAAATGATGACTTAGCTAAAAGGTCAGATTGGCTGTCAATTTGAATCTTCTTGCTACCCTACCAATATATCACTTAGAGAACATTTGTAAAAGACCCACATACTCTAAAAACCAAAGGTAGGGACTTTCACAGACTAAAAAATGTCAGGTACCTCATCAGTTAGATCCATGAGGCATGCAGGAAAGAAGACGGGGTTGGGGGATGGATGACTGTTTACAAATGTTTACAAATCTTGTTCAGTTTTTCATTTTTTATATAATAACAGACTCCATGTTGTTGTTATATAACATGACCTTCAGGGAACATATCACATGAAAAATGATGTTATTTGAAGGGTAGAATAGCCCCTTTTTTTCTGAACCAATGTACAGGGTGTGACAAAAGTAGGCTTATAGTTCTGAGTATGAGGACCACAGAGTTTATTCTTGTGTTATTTGTTATTATATTATTTCCCATATGAACAATTATAAATCTACTTTTGCCCCACCCTGTATTTTGCAAATTTTGAACTGATGAGATTCTAGTTTTCAATCTCCTAAGGACTGTGATTTTTTTAAAATATATTTTATTGATTTTCCACAGAGAGGAAGGGAGAGGGATAGAGAGCTAGAAACATCGATGAGAGAGAAACATCAATCAGCTGCCTCCTGCACACCCCCACTGGGGATGTGCCCATAACCAAGGTACATGCCCTTGACCGGAATCGAACCCAGGACTCTTCAATCCACAGGCTGACGCTCTATCCACTGAGCCAAACCAGGTAGGGCAGGACTGTGATTTTTGAAAATTTCCACCCAGGAGGCAAAGAAACCCAAAGGGAGGTGCAAAAAGAAAATGAAACTATTAAGTATGAGCTTGGTTTTAAAGGTAATAATTTTACAAATTCAGTACCAGAGGGAAAAAGTCCAGTCAACACTGTCACCATTAATGTCTTGCCTAGAAAATGTAACAATTGGACCTATGCTTATTATAGGTTTTCATCAAAAAGAGCATCCTTAAACATATTTTCTTATTTAATTCTGGGGGACAGGGATTGGAGCCTGATGGGCCAAATATAATCAGAAATGGGAAACCTATGATTCATAGATCCTCAGACCCCAAGAGAGATGGGCCGTCTAAGATCCCTAAAATTTTGGGACAGGCTGGTTAGAAAACCAAGGGGATAATGACACACAGGCGTTCCAAGGTCTTACCTTGTATGTCCATACCATTTATATTTTCATCCAAACTCTTATAACTGTTTCACAAATACTAAGCCCAAAGAAATGTAGGCTGGTATATAACTTAGATCTAAGGACTCCCAGATCAAATATCCACTCACCATCCATTTTAAATCATAGGTCTTTTCAAGTCTGATGACAGAACTGTGAATAAGCAGCCAACCTACACATGGTTTTGATCTGAAAGCTTTCCAACTTTTACCCAAATAATGCAAAAAAAAAGAGATTTACATATGTAATAAAGCAGTCCAACTTGACAAGGAGCTAAGTGAGCAGAGGGAGAGTCACAGGAGATTACTTGGGAATAGTAGTCAAGGGCCTGATCACCGATTATGATGATAAGGGCTAAGCAAGATGAGGAGCCATTGAAGGGAGGGCCATGATATGATCCCCATTTGTAGAAGATTACTCTGGCTACCTTAGGAAGAATAGGTGCTAATAGCACAAAGTGGCAACAGAGAGATCTATTATGAGGCTATAGTAGTCATATAACCCAAGGTGATACACTGGGTTATATAAAACCTGGATTACATAAAACATTCTTTATTACTATTATGGTAAATTCAATTCTACCTCCTGGCTTTTGGCCTAGGAAATCGTAATTATGCAGAGAAACAAAATGCACCCTATCCAAAACACTGAAGGTCTAGTTTCTTCCCCCTTCAAATTTCTTTTCCAGAGTTGGCCAAAAAAAAAAAAAAGTGAACTAATGAATATTCAACTAATTTCTTCTGCACTGGTAGTGATGAACACTTCTTGTTGCTTTGAGATGGAGAAATGTTCAGAAATCTAGAAAGAGAGAAACCAGGAGTCTGCATAAATCAGCCCCTAACAGTGCCCCAAACATTTTAATGAACATGATTTCAAAGTAATTCATTGTAACATATTTACCATCAGAGATGGACAATTCACAGACTTGCACTGGAGTGCACTTAGGAAAATGACGATGGATTACTGAAGTAAAGCCCCATGACTGTTGGATCCTAAGACTCTGCTTGTTCATGCAATTTTTGCAAGGCAGGAAATGCTATTTAAACTGCTTTCTACTTCTGTATTCCGACAATTATTGGGAAGTAGAAACATTCTAAGAAAATAAAACTGCCATGAGACCTAAAGACCATATCTGACATCAATAACCATTTTCACTTCTCAAAAATTGAACTCAGGGCCCTTTGGTTTTCCCACCTGAACTATACCACATATGTAGAGTTTGTTTCTTACTCTGTAGTATATTCTCTCAACTCACATGAGCGGTTTCTCTGCCATCCTCTACATTTGTGAGGCTGTGCCCATAAAGACATCACATGAGTTTTTATTATCGTGGGGAACACCATGCCCCCAAGCTAATTTAATTACCAGCTGAAATAAATCAAACTGTTTTAATGTTTATGACCCACTGCATTTTTAATTATGCCAAAGTTAATTTGCTTTCTGATATCTCATAGAAAAAGGTTTTCAGAAGATAGTTAAAATGCAATTGAATTAAACTGATCAGAATTAACATCTGCTCCAGGAAATACACTCAAGCAGAGGTGGCCATCAGCACAGGGGTTACTCTCAAGATAGTTGAAGACAACCACAGAATTTCAAAATTGGAAACAACTTTTTAGATTACCTAGTACCCACAGAAGTTAGGAGTTTGTGTAATGGAGTTAATGAGTATATGATGGGGTCAGGCCTTTTTTAACTTCTAGAATACCATTAACTATAATCATGCTACTAAATAGATTTTAATTCCCACTATCACCATGGGAACATTTTCTCTTCAAAGCAGCAACTTAGAAGGCTTCATCTCAGCAAGTTATGATCTTTTTGGAGGAGTCAGAGAAAGGGGATTCATGCTTATAGTAACAGCATACTTTAGGGAGAAAATGAATATGATAAGGTGGTGTAAGTGAATTAGCACTGATTATCAAATTTCTATACAACTCTCTAGAATCTAGGAGGATGAGCATGGAAACATGCTGGGAAAAATTGGGACTAAGTTGAAAAGAAAACAGAAGTAAAGTTATTAATTACACTATACACTCAGCCCAAGGTATGATTCTGGAAGAAGCTTTCTTATTTTAGTTCAGAAAACTGGGGGAAAGGGAAGATTTAGTGGTGGTAGTGATCAATAATGACAACAATAACAATAGCTGTGATAATTTACTGAATGCACACTGTGACCAACACACAATAGTTACTCATTCTCTACAGCAGCCCCATGATAATCATTCCATTTTATCCCCATTTTATAGATGAGGAAATAGAAGTGTGCACAGGAAGTGGCACTTAACAATGTGCCTCTCCTTCGAGACCCCTTTAGAAATATCATCCTGCATGCAGATAAATGTCTTTCCTGCAGATAGTTTAGATTTTCCAAAGAAAACTGAAACATCGACAGGGTGCTATTTTAGATTTAAAACTGGTCAACAAGAAAGAACTGGATGGTAAAGTAGAGGAATCGTGAAGCTGAGAAAGTGTTATCACCAGAAAGCACAGACTAGCTTAGGAAGGAAACCCTAGACTTAATCATTCACTTACCACAAAACACCAGAAAGGCAGGCTCATACACACACACACACACACACACACACACACACACACACACACACCCTCCGGCTTGTGATCAAAAACTATAAAAAGGAAGATGACTAATGAGAGATGGGAGGTGTTAAAAAAAACAAAACACTGAACTAATGATAAGGTCATTAAGTGTCACAGTCTTTAAAAAAAAAAAAAAAAAGCCCTAGGACATCAAATAACCACACAGGGAGCTCTGGTAAGACAAAACCTTACTGCTCAGGCACAAAAGATGGGGTGGGAGCATTTCACCAAGGACAAATAAAAGAGTGAGGTGAAACCTGAAGAGCCATATCATAAATGTTATGACTAAGAAAGGAGGCTTGTGAAAAATGCTGAGAACAAGAGGGCTTTCAAGGAAAGATGAAAGCAGCCTCTGGAAGGGCACTTGGTACTTAGTGCATAATAGGTGCTCACTACATAAAAATGTAGGTATTGACTATCTGAGTGAATAGGACAGGATTAGCAGGATTAAAGGAAAACAAATCCTTATTTTACTTCACTTTTTTATAAAGAAGAACAACCTGGCGCTTAAAATGTTTGTTTCTAACCACTATCTAATAATATAACTAGCCAAGAATAGACACCTTAACCTATCAAGGAACTAAAGGAACTTGGAGTTATAGTAAGTAAAACAGGGTCACAAAAATAGAAAAGGTCCTTAAGGACTAGAGATGGATAATCTTAACCCAATTTTTGAAAAAATTCTTTTGAAAAAGTAGATCCTGGAAGCAAGAGTAAAGCAAAATTCTAGCATTAATCATCAGACATGTGTTTTGAGAAGCAGCAGAGAGTAAAGCAGTAAAAAAAAAAAAAAGTAAAGCAGTAATCACTAGCACATGCCAAACGCAGTCCCTAATATTGGAAGACTGACACAGAAAGGGAAAGCCACAAACACAGCAATAGCCAATGGAAAGTCATGGATGGATGCAAAGTGGACTCACAGAATAACCAATCAATTCCAAATTGTGTTTCTCTGCTTTGTATGATTTGGACCCATTCAACAGATTTTTTTCCTCACAAAGACTTAGTCAAGTATAAAGTGAAGTAGAGGACATTTAAAACACAGGATGATGCCTGGCGGTGTAGCTCAGTGGTTGAGCGTTGACCTATGAACAGGAGGTCAGGTTTGATTCCAGGTTAGAGCACTTGCCTGGGTTGTGGGCTTGATCCCAGTAAGGGGCATGCAGGAGGCAGCCAATCAATGATTCTCTTTCATCACTGATGTTTCTATCTCTCTCTCTCCCTCTCCCCACGTCTCTGAAATCAATAAAAATGTATTTAAAAAAAAAGAAACACGGGATGACAAACTAAAAACTGAGAAAAGAACTTGGTATGCAATAAGAACTGGACAAAACTAACAATCATTTTTATAACCAAGACCTCAAAATTGCCTAGCTGATAAATCTTGCGTTTGAGATGAATATGAAGTATATTATGTAACAATGACACATGTACAACTTAGAAAGAGTACCCCAATCAAGTAAACTTCATTGTGTAGCACTGAATTAACTTAAATTTACTTAAAATGTCTATTTTCTAACATAATTATTCCTCCTTGTTTACATTTTAGGGATATACTAATTAGCTAAAATGCCTTTTTATAAATACACAAATGGGTGAAATAGTAAATTTTATGTTAGACATATTTTACCCCAATAAAAAAACTATAGAATTTTTTAAAGTTTTATAGGTGAGGAAGCTTAGACACAGTCTATGTGATCCTAGGCAAGTTTCAATCTTTTCAATTTTAAGTTTCTGTATCTCTAAAATAGGAATAATGAAATCAATTGTCAATTCATGGGAATCTCTTATGGGGCATCTGCCTAGAACTTGAGAAAAAATAAATTCCATGTATGAGTAAAACTATGTGGTCCTCTTAAAATGCCTCAAAGCAGAGATGTGCAAGAGCACCTATAAAAGACAGTTTGGCTACAAAGCCCGCCCAACTTGATTGTAACCAGACTGAATACATTATCATAGCTAATGAAGAAATAAGCCAATCACAAGTAGGGATGAACACTACAAGAGCATCCAAAAGTCCCAGGCACTAAGCAAAGCCTGTCGACATCTATCCATGCGCTTTCTGGGGAAAAGTGAGTCTTGGCCAATGATTTTTCATGTGTGTCTCACGTAGGGAAGGTTATTCCTGCTGTAAAGATGGATGTGGCTGTGAAATGCATATTAGCCCCTCCCCTTTCATCTCTCTCTAAAATCAACAAAAACATATCTTTAAAAACCAATATAAGGAAAGTTCTATTTCCTGCGAGTCTGTATTTTTTCTGCCTGTGGCTGAGAAAGTTGAAATTGTGTATTGCAATTACAGTTTTCCCCTTTCCATGTACCCTCGTGGCTTTGTTGACAGCCCGCAGCTGCCTTAGCCTTCCATGCAGGTTAGTGGGAAGATGACAGGTGTAAAACCACATTTACCATCGGGTTAAAAAGAAGAGGGCATACATACCTCGTTCAAATTTTAACCGCTGATAAAGCTGAAATTGATCCACAGGTACCAAACAGGCAATCTGAAACCAGACACATGATAAAGATGAGATTTCAGTCATCGCAGAGGCCCAAGTTACCAGCCTTATAATTCCTCCTTGTTTGGCTTACTGTATTATCTCTCTACAAATTAGTTTGCAAATGTCTTTGGCGCAGCAACACAAGCAGCAATCCCTGAGTCATCCCCAACCATCTGCCAGGGCTAAGAGTCGCTCAAGGCACCAGTTACAGAACTGACTGATCACCTTCCATTCTTCAATCAGCAGCTACTAAGACCAAACAATGAAATCTTTCGACTTCCCGAATTATTTGTATGCATATGTGAAAGATGCTCTTTTTCTCTTTAGATTCATTTAAGAAATTTTTTAAAGATTATAGTTCTAGCTTTAGAATCCTTAAATACTAAAGTCAGACGGATAGTGAGTCAGGAAGTATGAAAACTTCATTTGTTGCCTAAGGAATAGTACCTTCTAAGCAACGTACAAATCACTTCTCCTGACAAAAATCGTTTCAAGAGGCCCTTGATTATCATGTATCGCCATCCATGCCCTGGTAGAAAAGAAAAGCCGAAGATGTTGCTTGTGTCTAGGCTCCCATTTCCATTTCTGATAGCAATGTGGACCAAAGGTTCATAAATAAGGATTCATAGCTAACCAAATAGCACTGCAGATTAGTTACTTTTAAGTTGCATTTCAAAGTCAGATGCAGGCAAAGCTAACTGCTCTTAATGTGGCATTCTAAAAAATAGCAATACCCTTGATGTCAACATGTAAATATTTTGATATGGCTTAAAATATTTATAACTGAAAAAAATCTAAGAATTTGATACAGGACACACCTTGGCAATTTTGACTCTAAAGTACTGTATATTTTTGGTTAAAACATATGTTGGTGAAAGGTCTTGCAACTAACGGAAAGAAGTGCGCTTTGAGAAAACCAGAGTAAAAAAATGAGGCAGCTAAAATTGTACTTAACAAATATAATACATTTTAGAAGGCATTCAAAGTCGAATTCTGCTCCTCACAAAAATAAACAACACATTCATTTATTTTGTAAATGAATCAACTTTAGTTAAATATATGAAGAGCCACAAAACAGGTAAGTTCTGTCTTCTCCATTTTAAGTAGAGCAAAGTAAAACATAAATTTAATTTCATTATAAACTTTTGCTCCATTTGTGAGGGGGGGAGGGGAGAGAATGTTGCATTTTCACCTGGCACTTTCAGTAAAACCTCCTTAGCAATCACTAAAAAATTATGGTTAATTTTATGAGTCTTTTACCATATATTTTGTTAAAGTATGTTTACATGTTTATTCTACTGAAAGCCAGTTTTGTTTCAACTGTTATAATACTACCTGGACTTCTTTCCTAAAAGACAAAGGTACCTCAAATAAAATGCATTTGGAGACAGAAGTTGCAAGCAAGTGAAAGCGTGGGAGGCATTAGGGGATCAGAGTTTAGTTACTGACTTAGTCAATGATTCATTTTAGGTGGAGGACAAATAATCTAATACTACTTTAACTTCTGGGCCAAGGTAACTTGGGAGATGATATCATCTGGGCCCAAGAGACCTCAGTGATATTCTATAAATCTATTTTTAAACCCCTCCCCCCTTTAAGTGATTTGAGGTTTTTGATTCTATGGGACAGTTCTATACTCTTCTTACACCTTCTATAACTGTTTCTGGACTGATGAAGACTTCCTTCAAACTCCTCAAAATCAACCCTTAAAAATGCTTATTTTTTCAATGACAAGCAATTTATATAACAGCTAAGTCAATAACAGTTTATAAAAAGACAAAGCAAATAGGAGGAGATAAATATTTTAAATACAGAAGGAATGCTACTGTGAACAATGACTGAAATCAACGCAATAAAAAGTCAACAATAGTAGAGCTGGATGTTTAATGTTAAGTTAGAAAGACAAATTTCACCAGAGGACATATTACTGCCAGCAGGAAAGTCAGAGGTCTCTAATATTTTTTGTCTTTCACTCTACTTTGAATCTCCTATTTATTATTTTTTAGGTTCGAGGTTTGTATGGAATTAAGCCTTATAAGGTAAATCAATTTTTCTATTGAACTCTGTGATCACACAAAGTCAGGGCTATCACTTTTCACTATGTTTGATATTTCTGGAATAAAGAGAAGCCCCAACATACACCATTCTCTCCCCACCCCTGCCACTTAGACTTGCATCTTCTCCAGGGACTTGTTGACAGTCTATTATGGCTGGAAGCCTGGGGATACAAATGAACAGGCCGACATAGAAGCTGTCCTCAAAGGACTTAAATTACTGAGGGGGGGAGGGCAATAAAGTTTTAAGAAAGATCTACCCCTTTGTTATATTTCACAGATAAGAGCTAATTTTCTGAAATGTTTCTATCACACTTTTGGCTTTAGATGAGAGAAAGCTGGGTTAGATTTAAAAAAGATTAAAAGATGATGATCCAAAGTATTGAATTCCCATTCCCTTGCCATTTGGAACTAAGTCGCTATTGCTCAAGGTCTGTCACAATTATAAAACTGAAATAAATGTTTTAGTATGATTATTGAAGGCTCCATCAGGCAATAGGTTAAAGGGCTACTCCTTTTTAAAAAAATATATTTTTTATTGATTTCAGAGAGAAAGGGAGAGGGAGAGACAGAAGCATCAATGATAAAAGAGAGAATCATTGATCAGCTGCCTCCTGCACGCCCTCTACTGGAGAGCGAGCCCACAACCGGGTATGTGCCCTTGACTGGAATCGAACCTTCAGTCCGCAGGCCGACGCTCTATCCACTGAGCCAAACCGGCTAGGTTGGGCTACTCCTTTAAAAAAAAAATTTTTTTTTAAGGAATCACAACGCCTCTAAAGTTAATTGTGAAAATGAAAATCCTAGAGAATAAGAGATTATAAAAGGTATCTTATGGTATAGAATTATCCTTTTCCTGTCAACCAAGAAATTCCAAATCACCCAAAAATCATACCAGGACATTCCTTTTTAACTTTATTTTGAAATAATTTTAGGCTCACAAAAAGTTGCGACAATTATATAAAGTTCCTAAAGACCCATCCCCCCAACTTCTCCTAATGTTACTAGTAACACCTTACATAATCATAGTTAATTATTAAAATAATAAAATTTTCATTGATACAAAATAATTAAACAATCTGTAGGCCTTATTCAAATTTCACAAACTGACCCACAATGTCTTTTTTTTTTCAGTCCAGATCCAATTTAGGACATCACCTTGCATTCGGTTCCCTTGTCTCCTCAGCCTTCTCTAATCTGGGGCAGTTCCTCAGTCTGTATTTGTCTTTCATGACCTTGACATGTTTAAAGAGTCCAGGCCAGTTATTTTGTACACTGCTCTCCAATTTGGCTTCGTCTGATGTTTTCTCATGATTAAGTCAAGATTATGCATTTTTGGCAAGAACATCACAGAAGTAATATTGGGCCATCAGGAGGTAAATGAGGACAACCTGTCTCATTACTGGTGATATTAACTTTCTAACTTGGTCAAGGTAGTATCTGCCAGGTTGCTCCACTCTTTGTAATATTATAGGGAGACTAGAGGCCCTCATCCTGGCCTGCGGGGATCAGGCCAAAACCGGCTCCCCAACATCCCCCAAGGGGTCCTGGATTGCGAGAGGGCGGTTCTCAAGGTGATGCACCCCGGAATCAAGCTCCCTCCTCTCTGGTTCTGGGTGCGTCACCAGAGAACCCCCGCTGCCAAGTGACTGCAGCTCCTGCATTGAGCGTCTGCCCCTTGGTGGTCAGTGCACATCATAGCTACTGGCCAGTCGGCCAGTTGCTTAGGCTTTTATATATATAGATATTTTGAGATTCTGCAAATATGTTTCTCATCATACCTCTGGCAACTAATTTTGTATCTATCAAAAACTCTTACCTACTATAATTATTACTGTGTTTATTTGCTTAATGATGATTTTCTATATCCATCTCTATTTGTTCATTAGAATTCTGCTATAAGAAAGAAATATTGTAAATACAACATATATTTTCTTTTAATGAAATGGTTAAAACACAGAAGCTAGGGAAAGCCAGAAGGAGGTAAAAAAAAAAAAAAGCCCAGACTTTACTTAGGTTTGGCCCTTTAAATTATACCACTGCTACAGTTGCTTTTAAAAATTAAAAAACCAGGTTGAACATGAAATACAATGGATCACTATATCTGGAGATGGAATTGACCTCTTATAGATCATTACAAATCTTGAGGTGTTATGACTTGCAAAAATACTGGCAAGAGAAACAGTACTAGTCTAAAGGATAAGTGTTTTATCACAATAATACAGAAACTACGAATGTTTCCTATCTCAACCCAGAAAATAACTATTTCCTAACAGAAAAAGAAAAACGGCCCATTTACCCATTCACCCGAGTAAACCAAGCTCATCTCCTTACCTACATACTACGTTTCAAATCCTGGATGAAGAAACAAGAGGGCATCATTGAGAGCCAGATGGCAGGGCCCACTGGGAAAGGGAAGGATGGGGGAGTCCTGGAATTCCAGGGCCAGGAATTTTTTTCACAGTTTCCTGCAGAGGGTGGGTTTGCTGCTCTTTTTTTGCCCCTTCTGCAGAGGCCTCAGTCCTGCTTCCCACATCATTGCCTGCCTTTCCCCTCAGCTCATCTAGTCTAAAAGGGACATGCCTAGGTGCACATCCATGGGACACATTCGACCCATTGCTGCTTAATCTTCTTACATTTGCCCTTAGTTAAAGAAGAAGCTTAGAAACACTATTCTCCACTTATATGCAGTTTTTAAACAAAATTTTTTAAATGTTCTAGAACAAATTTCAGTTAAGAACCTCAAAGCTATCTGTTGATTCTGGCATTGCAGATTCCTCTTCCTTCCCCACTTCCAAGTTTTACTCTTCTCCAGCCAACGTGTACTGCAGCCAAAGGTCATTATTATGGACAGACCTAACCCCATCCTCTTCAGATCCTGAACCTCAGTAACAGGGATATGGCCACTTGCCTGGGTACCCTCCTCTTCCCTCCGCCCCAGCTCTACACTGTAATAATAAGAGATGGCCAGTGCAGGCAGTGCCAATGGGTGATTTGGGGGGACCATTTGGATCTCAAATTCCAGGAGTCACCCTCAATGAGCATGCAGTATGTATGAGTAAAAACTGTCTTTATTTTACAAATGTAGCTTCAAATTCCCTAGTACTGCACCCCCAACCCAACCATCCCCTATCCTAGTCTTCCAGAGTGCCCCACCCTAAGTCCCGTCCTACAGAATTCTGGAGCCCCCATTCTTGGCGAGAGCAGCTTTCCTTCCTCTGGTGCCTGCTGTGCCACCAGCAGTAAAAGGCAGGCTGGTCACTCAGTGCCCTGAGCTTGAAAGGAGGGTTGGTGGGTGAGAAGCTGTTCCTGGTGTCCACTGCCGGCTGACAGTGAGGAGAGGTTCCATCCTTCAGGCCATGTCATGGTAGGTACTCACCACTCAAATTTACATGGTCCAGACCAGAGGTCCTCAAACTTTTTTTTTTTAAATATATTTTATTGATTTTTTACAGAGAAGAAGGGAGAGGGATAGAGAGCTAGAAACATCGATGAAAGAGAAACATCAATCAGCTGCCTCTTGCACACCCCCTGGTGGGGATGCACCTGCAACCAAGGTACATGCCCTTGACCGGAATCGAACCCGGGACCCTTGAGTCCGCAGGCCGACGCTCTATCCACTGAGCCAAACCGGTTCGGCGTCCTCAAACTTTTTAAACAGGGGGCCAGTTCACTGTCCCTCAGACCGTTGGAGGGCCGGACTATAATTTTTAAAAAAACTATGAACAAATTCCTATGCACACTGCACATATCTTATTTTGAAGTAAAAAAACAAAATGGGGACAAATATAATATTTGTATTTGCATGTGGCCCGCGGGCCATAGTTTGAGGACCCCTGGTCCAGACCAATGGCCCAGGCTCTCCCAGCAAGTGATGATACGTTCCTTTCCTAAGACTGTAAGGGACCTGCTTAAAGTAGTCATTGCCTCATTCCCAAGGCTACTGACTTCGAGCAAAGGCCTTGCCTGAATGCAGTGATGCTGTCAGAACAATCTGTGTCCTGCCTTTCATAATTCCACGTTGGACAAGAACCCTGCATCAAGTACATCAGAAATGCCCTGCAGAGCAACAGCTGAGAGGACCAGATGACACAAGGAAGGCAGGCTTTACTTTTCCCTGGATCCCGAGGAGCAGCTCCAGGGGCACGAGCTCTCCAGTGGCAGGACCTCTCCAGAGCTTTCATGACATTGAAGAGGAAGCTGCCTTTTCTACCATTTCCTACATAAGCAAGGAGTTCTGCAACTGGGCATTCAACACTTTGCTGATGAAGCTGTTTCTGATAAATGAGGCAGAGCCCCAGCTGAGCCAATTTGAAAGCATTAAGAAGGCAGGTAGCCTGCAGGAGGCAGACAGAGCACAGCCAAGGGTGTGAACTAGATCCATGCAGTGAAGCATTTGAAGGAAAGAACTTAAATTTCTTGTGTCTTTTGAAGATGAAGAAATGTTATATTTACAAGCATTTTCTAAGACAATAAATAATGAAGAACCATGTCTTGTAATATAAATAGCAGGACAAAGGGAACTTAAGCCTTAGCCAGAATTATTTTTAACAAGCAAAGTATATTTACGTATTACCTGAAGAATTCAACATTTTTTAAAGGCAGAACATGGAGGTACAATCCAGTCAAGCATAATGTGAATATGCCCCCTTGTGATGTATTCAATAATATTTATATTAAGAGCTCTATCCTATATAATAAAAGCCTAATATGCTAAGTGTCCAGTCATCTGTTCAAGCAATCAAAGTATAATATGCTAATGATATGCCAAGGCTGCTCAACCACTTGCTATGACGTGCACTGACCACCAGGGGGAAGACGCTCCAACTGGTAGGTTAGCTTGCTGCTGGGGTCCGGCCAATCGGGACTGAGCAAGATGGGCCGGACACGCCCTGGATCCCTCCCGCAGTCCCTTCCCGGCTGGCCAACCTCCTGCATCCCTCCCCGACCCCAATCCGTGCACCGGTGGGGTCCCTCGGCCTGGCCTGCGCCCTCTCACAATCTGGGACCCTTTGGGAGATGTTGGAGAGCTGGTTTTGGCCCAATCCCACAGGCCAGGCCAAGGGACCCTACTGGTGCACGAATTTGTGTACTGGGTCTCTAGTATAATAATAACTATATATGAGGAAAGCTTGATGTAAAGGAAATCAGAAAGGAAGGCACTACAGTCCAAGTTCATGTGTGCATGTGTTATTTGCTTTGAAAGGAGTATTCCCATATAAACTAATGAAGCTACCAATATCTCCAACATAATCTATTCCTTTCTCAATTCAAAATCAAAGACAATCACCACCATCACTCTTTTTTTTTACTCTGAAAATACAATTGTAGCAAGTTAGTTAAGAACATGATTACCGCACATTCCTGCCCATCTTCAGCCATGCTCTTAGCAAGACCAATACGTACAGAAAGGTCAATTCACACCCTCAGGTCCACTTTACTAATCGAATGGGAAATGGACTTTGGAGAATTTAATAAATACCATATTTTCATTTGCAATGTTTTTGTTTTATTTTTTCAAATACCCTTTTATAATTTTTAAGAGCCACCATGGGTTTGTTTGGTTTTAACACAGCCTAAAGTAAAATTGTCTTTAGAGTAAAACTGGGTAAATGGAATCAGAACTAGGAAAGCGTGAATGAGAATGGGTCCAGTGGGGAAAGGGTAAGGATTAAAAAGTAGAAGACAACCGCAGGGAAATGTGGAAGAAAATGTCTATACTAAGAAAATCAGAAAAGTTACTAAGCTTTGTTCCAGAGAACTGTGAGATAAATGATGGCCTTTGCTCACATTAGCCCTGACATTTGATATCCAAAGTGCTGATGGCTCGTGTTTACTAGTCATATAAAAATCCAGACCAACACTATGCAATTGAACTTTCTGCTATGATGGAAATGTTCTGTCCTTTGCTATCCAATCTGGTAGTCACGAGCCACATGTGGCTACTGAGCTCTTGGAATGTGATTAGTACAACCAAAAGAATGAATGAATTTTTTATGTTACCTAATTTTAATTAATTTCATTGTAAATAGCCACATGAAGCCAGTGGCTACTGGATCAGATAGCACAGGTGTAGAATATAAGACTGTGATTCATTTCAAAGGCTTGTTTTGAAGCTTCACGAAACCATTCATTTTCACTTATATTTAGTAGATTTTGCATACATGAATTAAGTAAAATTTCATACGAAACACAGCTCTTGCTGCCTGCTCCATGTCATGCTTTTCACTTTTATAGTCAATTTAACATCTCTCTGCTGGGTCAGGAGCTACCATGAGCATAAACAGCATTGGGCCTGTCTCATTCACCTCTCTGTCCTGGCGTGTACCAGGCACACTGTGCACGCTTAATAAACACTTGTTCACTACTGATCAAACATCAGAGAAGTCAAAAAGGAAGCATCTTTCTTGGAAGGATTATGCATAGAAAGACGATCCGGAATACCTGGATCTCATTTTAAAAACTATTTGCAGGTAGCATAGATGACTAGTACTTTTGGTGTCTAACCTAATCTTTCCCCACTTTAACTTTGTTCTGCCCATTACTCACACAAAAGTAAGCAATATTTCTCACTAGAGCTTTACATATTCAATATTACATTTTTATTTAAAAAAAACAATTAATTCATGATTTTCTTAAAATGAATCACTTCTAAATCATTATGTATTCTTTTGATTCTTCCCTAAAAAACACTTCAACCTCGCTTGTCCCACTTTGCTGATATTCCATAAGCTGAACACAGGACCTCCAGAGGTAAACTGACTAGAAGTGGCCTATAACATTTTTCTGACTGCTTTTCTTACAAAGCAAAAAATTATATGTAAGAGTATATGAATTTGTAAACAAAACATTTATATACACACATGCACATATACACACTCACATACACATCCACTCATATATACATATATAGCTACACACATGAATGCACTATTCAGCTTCCAATGATCAAGTCCTTTATCATATATTCTATTATCTACCTGGTTCTACTCTTAGAGCCCTATAATTGTGGTGGTCAGAAGAACTGCATTAGATTTCTAGCTCTTCTACTTTTTTAGATATGTATGCACTTTTGGGCAAATTACTTAAACCCTCTGGGCCTAAGTTTTATCAGTTTGTTGAAAAGATTAGATAGTAAGTATACTGGCTATGAAAGCACCGGAAGAGTCCCTAATGAACAGCAGGTGTGCCGTGTTTGCTGAATGAATAACTTATTTCATGGGTTTCTTGGGACCTCTTTGAGACGCTTACCAACTCCCTACAAATGGACAAGAGCTGGTTATCTTCTCACAGTGAACAGGCTCTGAAGATTAAAGGCAGATTTAAGGGCAACTTATTGATCAGGGACTGAAGAAACAAAGGGAAGGGATATATCACAGTCTTTAAAAAATGGTGGAAGAACTCACGGAAAAAAGAAAGACATTTCTGATGCCTGATAAATATTAAATGAAAGGCCTTTCTCTGCTCTTTAAAAATGGCTCAACTCGGGCTACCTTCTAGTTTATTGTCTGTAACTGTGGCTAACCTGCTGTCTGATTATCTTCAAAGTATGAAAGATCACAAGACCACTCACTATTCAGCCTCCGAACCTCACATTTGGTAAATTTGATTTCTTTACCTTTGCCTACCTGTTCAGAGAGCCTTTATAAATAGAATTGAGGTAAATAGCAGCTTTAAAAGTTTGTACAAAGAATCCAAAGGTGAGTAGCAATAAAGTACTGCTTTAAAAAATTCATCTCTGTCTTTTGTTTCTAGACTCTCTGTTAGGGAAGTACATAGAGTCAAGATCCTAGGAAATAATGTCAAGAGGAAAGCGGGGAAGATCATGGCACTCATCCATACCTCAGCTTCCTGCAGGATCCCGTGGTTTAGGCACACCATGTCAGGGCAAGTGATGGGAGACCCACATCCGTCTCGGATTGCCAGCTGCATGTACTGTTTCAGGCACTGGAAGTTAAGAAGAAAAAAGACAGACCATTACCTGCCGCATTACAGTAGCACAAAGGTTACAAAACCACCACTGCCTCTCTTCTTCCTTACTTGGCAGTCCTGGGGCTCTTGTACTCAGAAAACATAAGTTATCACAAGTGTGAATGCTAAGACCTATCACTTTGGAAAGAATGCAGAGACAAGCAATTTGGTATGACTTCATCCTAGGAAAACTGGGTTTATTCAAGGCAGCAAATTCCTGTAGGCTCACATTTTACCCACCATAGATAGGGGAAAGCCTTCTTTCTTTCTTTCTTTTTTTAAACTTATTTGACTTCCCAGTTTAATTTTTACCTAGTGGTCCTCTCCCTCAAAGTCTGCCCAGAAATAGAACTGTGACCCTTGTGCTGAGCTAGCCAAACAGAAACAAAATGAAATTAAGTCAATGACTTATCCGGAACACCCTTAACAGCAAATACACCTGGAAAAGATCATGTAAAAGACAATTTGGGAGACAACTATGGGCCTTGGTGAATGCTACGGTGAGGAGGTTTGAGTACAACCTGGTTAAGGAAGAATTTAATAGGAAAACAGAAATCCAGAGGGGAGGGTTAAGGAAGAATTTAATAGGAAAACAGAAATCCAGAGGGGAGGGGAGGGGAGGGAGAGGTGAGAAGGGAACAGTAAGAATACCAAGGTCAATTTGATCTACTCATTGCCTGTTGCACCTGAATCTTGGGCAGTGGATGGAGATGTGAGTCAGACTAAGAAGGTAGGCGAGGGACTGATATAGCATTATGGAAATCTCTAACTCCTCTCTGCTCCCTTTCAACCCACTCACATGCCCACAGGAAATTGAAGGCCATAGTTTCAGAAGATAATGCTCTTAAGAAATCTGTAAGTTGGCTTCTCAATTTCTAGTAATTTGCTCATAATTGGCCAGCTCTTTGATATAAGCATGATGGGGGAAAAATCAAACTCAAATATTTGAAAAAGACACCCCCAAAATACATAAGCTACTCAATGAATTAATGACTCTTACAAAGTGATCATCTATATATATAAAAAGCTACCAGTCGATCGGCTGGTAGCTATGATGGGCACTGACCACCAGGGGGCAGGCGCTCAACACAGGAGCTGCTCCCTGGTGGTCAGTACGCTCCCACAGTGGGAATGCCACTCAGCTAACAGACTGGTGCCAGACTCTGGGCTCACGGCTAGTGAGCACAGCTGCAGGGGTGCAAGCCTCTCCAGCGGACACTCCCCCTGCACACCCGAGCAGCGGCAGGCACAGTGGGACCAGGATGCGTGGAAGCAGTGTGGTGCCCAGCCCGGCTCAAGCTCCTCCCCGGCCACCTGCCACTTCGCGCACTACTTCGTGCGGTGTGGAATCGATGTGGACAGTGGGCTGGAGCCCAACGAGCTGTTGGGTAAGGCCGGGCTGCGGCAGTGCGGAGGCCCACTGATCCCTGCAGGCCAGGTCGAGGGACCCCACTGGTGCACAAATCCGTGCACTGGGCCTCTAGTTATTTATAATTGAACTTGGATCTTTCAAAATTACACATCTATGTATCAACCTGCTACATTAAAAATACTATTGTTGCACCAACCTTTTATAAAAACTTAACTACTAAATAAATTTTATGGTTAGAATACTGATGACATAATTATGAAACCTAATTCTTTCATTGACTATCTTTATTCATTTTCTCTATCTGAAATTAAAACTTACATCATGATTGTATTTCAGAAAAATAATCATGTATTTATCTGACTGAAATTACTGTTACAATGTACTAATGAATCAATGACTAGGGCAAACCATTTAAACCATATTTGCATCTCTTCTAGTAGTTAATAACTCCCTTCTCCAAGGAGTCAAGCTTTTTCTATGATGCTCATCACAGGAAAAAACACCCCACTGGGAAATAACCTAAATATCCAAAATAGAAGAACACATAAATAAATTATGCTAAATTCATGCAAGGAAAAGCTGAAGAATTACAAAAAATATTTTTAAATTAATTTCCACTTGTATTGAAAATTTATAAAATTGAATCTAAGCTTTCCCAAGAGTTCACAATGAATGTACTATTTGCTAATATAATGTTCTTAGGTACACTGTAACCACAATACATAAAACCAATGAATTTTTAAGCTTCCCACAAGTACTTTCCTGGCCACAATATTACATGACCCATGATTTTAGGACAGAGGTTAGAGCTGTATACAACCAATGACAGGGTGTAATTATAAAAATTCCATTTACTCTGTTGTTAAATGCTAAGAAACACTGGTTCTAGAAAGATTTGTAAGTACCGGTTGCTAAGTAATGCTCTAGTGCAGGCACTTACACTCCATCACTAGGGGCCTGCATTTCTATTCTAAGGCAAAGAGGGAAAACAACCAACTCTAGTTATTGCTTCTTATTAAATTTTCAAGTACCTTAGGTTCATGATGTGTCTTCTATTAGCTTGCACTAAAAATTTAATCTTGAACTCTCCCTCTCTTCTTCAAAATCTCTGGCTAAAGCACAAAAATACTGAAAACATACCCATGAACCCCTGTGCATGTTACACAAACCAAACAATTCCAGAAGAGACTGGCATCTAGCTTATAAATAAACACAGAGGAACACAGAAAGAGAAAAGGAAAAACAATCATCATTTAGTCGCATTGAAAAAAAATTATATTCCAATAAACAATAGCATTAAACAAATGTCTGAATATGTAATTTTCAAAACAGCTAACAAAATCTACAGGAAATGTTTCAACTAGAACATCTCAAATATCCTGATGACCAAAGAAAGAAACAAAAAACTTGTCTTTTAGATTGTCAACATTTCACTTCATTAGTTTGATAGAACATAACATTCTTTAGGCCACGAAGTGCCATGTACTAGTATAATAAAGACCGTTCCTCAAAATCATTCCACAGCCCTCAAGGATTCAAAAGAGATCTAACCAAGAATTTAACATCAAACACCTGGTGAGCCAGATGACTTGTATTATCTCTTCCAGCTCTGAGAGCCTATGAATTATGTACAGCGGGACCTTCCCAAAAAGAGGTTTTTCCTAGACCCCTTTCCGGTGCATATTTTCCAATGTACCAAAAAGCATTCTTTTTTAAAAAAAAATATGTTTTTATTGATTTGAAAGAGAGAGGAAGGGAGAGGGAGAGAGAGAAAAACATCGATGTGAGAGAGAAACTTCAATCGGCTGCCTTCCAAATGCACCCCAAAGGAGGATTGAACCTGCAACCTGGGCATGTGTCCTGACTGGGAATCAAACCAGCAACTTTTCGGTACATAGGACAACGCTCCACCAACTGAGCCACAACAGTTAGAGCCCAAAGGGCTTTCTTTATAGGTGTTCTCATCTATTAGCTGGACAAGGCAAAAAGGGCTACAACATTTAGACAAAGCTCCTAAGAGATCCACCCAAAATAATATACATATATACATATATATTTACTCTAAAGTTGCTCATTCTCTGCCACTAGATTTTATACCTTTCTTTAAAATTTTCTCTAAGAAATAAAGCATTACAATGAATAGTGAAGGGAACTGGATTCTAACAATTAAGATTGAAGTATAAACTCTAAAGTTTTCTTCAGCATCTTGGGCAAGTCATTAATGTCTCCAGCTACAACATTTTCAATTATAAAATGGGACAATACCACTTGCCAAGCCTGCTCTTACAGAAATAGAGAGTCCTTCATGAGAGTAAATACATGAAAATACCATGAAAAATAAAAACAGGTATGCAAACATCCTATATAATAAAAGGGCAGTATGCAAATTGTCCCCTCAACCAGAGTTCTTCCGGGAGTTTAACCAGGGAGCAGGCCAGCCGGGGGAAGGGAGGGAGGCCCTGGCGGGCAGCCGCTAGGGACCCTACCAGTGCACGTGGTCCTCTAGTAAAGTATAATTGGAGAACAGAATAGCTGTTTCTGAAGTACAGGTAGGCATGCAGAAATAAAAGTCCCCAAACGATGCAACCCCCAGAAATTAGTTTCATGATGGTGGGGTGGGGTGGGGAAGTGAGAGGAGAATACCTATTGATGGAAGGAAAGAGGTAATGTGTACTATTAGCTGAAAGTTTAAATTGATCTTGGATGCTTCTAGATGCAGATGCTGGGGTTCTGAGGTCCAAGAAGGACTGGCAGACCACCTGGATTGAAGCTGAGTTGGTGCACTACTGACCTTGGGTTTCTCAGGCCTCACTCAGCCATAGATGGGAAGGAAGGTGATGAGGGGGAAAGTACCTTGGGTATAAAAGTTTGCTTTTTATCATTCCTGGCACAATGCTATACACTAAAATAAATATTTAACAAAACACATACTAACATTTCTCTGCTTCAGTACACAATTACATCATAATGTCTCAAGAGTGTTCTAAATAACATCTTATATTTAGGCCAATACTCTGTTTATTCCAGCTCAGACTATGATCTCTACACATGATCCAAAAATAAAATCTTTGTTGGATGCTGTTGACTTAAATTATTAATAAACTCAAGATGGTGTATCTCTCATAATTCAAAAAGCCTTTTTAACAAAGCATGCTGGTTTGAAATGTATAAAAGTTTGAAAATTTTCAAAGAAATCAATAATCTATCGCTAGACAACTTGTTTCCTGGTATAGTATTATCTTACAAAGTTTTATTATAAATCTTTCAGAAACCTTGGCTTTTCACAAATATATTACTAGTGATGGGCATCACCTTCCTACTCCTTTGCCAACCACATAGGACATCAGAGGACTGACAGGAAAACCTGGCACCGGATGATTAAAGAGAAGTCCCAAATCAAACAACAAGCCATAAGTACGGTTAAAAAGAGACCAGAATTTTACAGTCTTCATCCTTAAGCATCTCATATTCAGAAAGCCTTCCTTGTCTTGTTCCTCCGCCTGGAACAGTGCCCAGCCCACCGGCTCTCACAGCACTCTGACACCCAGCTAGCACAGTACTTTTCAAACTGGGTGCAAAGGTGTATTCTTGGGAGCCCAAGAGC